CAAAGTATTCATTAAGGACCTCCCCTACCTCCTCCAACTCCAGGCACGTGTTCCCTCCACTTTCCCTGATCAGCCCTATCATCACTCTGGCCATCCTCTTGTTCCTCATCTAAGTATAGAAGGCCTTGGGGTTTTCCTTAATCCTACCCTAATTCATACCCCTTACTTCTTTTGAAACATCTAAACCCTAGAACATCCAACAATCATTCCTGCCCCTGTGATATCCAAGTCTCCGTAATGGCCATAACATCGTAGTTCCAAGTACTGATCCATGCTCTAAGTTCATCACCCTTATTTCTGACACTTCTTGCGTTAAAATAGACACACTTCAACCCGTCGCACTGACTGCAACTTTGCCTATCAACTGTCTATCCTTCCTCACAGACTCTCTGCTTGCTCTGTCTGCCTGGCTACCCCATCCTCTGATCTGTAGCTCTGGTTCCCATCCCCCTGCCAAACTAGTTTAAACCCTCCCAAAGTGCTCTAGCAAACCTCCCAACCAGGATATTGGTGCCCTTCCAGTTCAGGTGCAACCCGTCCTTGTACAGGTCCCACCTTCCCCAGAAGGTATCCCAATGATTCACATATCTGAAGCCCTCCCTCCTGCACCAGCTCTGTAGCCACATGCTCAGCTGCACTCACTCTCTATTCCTGGCCTCACTAGCCCGTGGCACCGGTAGTAATCCTGAGATTACTACTCTGCTCGTCCTGCCTTTTAGCTTCCAACCTAACTCCCTATATTCACTTTGCAGGTCCTCATCTCCTTTCCTATTTATGTCACTGGTACTAATAAGTACCACGACTTCTGGCTACTCTCCCTCCCCCTTAAGAATCCTGTTGACTCAATCCGAGACATCCCTGACCCTGCATCCGGGAGGCAACATACCATCCGGGAGTCTCACTCGGTACCACAGAATCTCCTGTCTGTTCCCCTAACCATTGAATCTCCTATCATTATCACTGTCCTATTCTCCCCCATTCCCTTCTGAGCCACAGAGCCAGGCTCAGTGCCAGAGACCTGGCCGCTATGGCTTTCCGCTGGTTGGCCATCCCCCCAGGTGGGAGATCCTTCGAGCCGGAATATATAAAATATAGAAGCAGTCAATTGGCACAAAACGAAGGACAAGATATTTAACCCAGGCCAGAGCGGGTCAATGGCTTCAGGAGCATATGTAGGAGATATATACTTGCAAGAAAACAATAAGCTATTGCAACATTTCCATCAGAAGCAGCAGGCAATCCATTGAAAGGAAATCTATGTTGAAATACTTCGGCCAAAATGACAATATAGTTAACCAATTTCAGTTGCTGCTCATTCCCGATTATTGTGAAATGATCTGGGAAAATGTTCACCATGTACTTGGCAAAATGGAACATGGAGACATTACTGCAGTTTGTTAACATTTTTCTTACTGCTGTCTTTTATCTACTCTCCCTTATTGCATGTGCTACTCCCCAACAAAGCACTGTGACTTTTGGCACTATCCCAATACTATCCAGCAATGGAATTAGAAGCACTAGCAAACTCAATCACTATGGGGTCAAGCAATGGGCTCCTTTACTGTTGAGTTTTGACAGAGCAAAGTGTTTAAAAGATAAAGGATGGCCTACATTGAAATGGCACCTTTCACAAACTTAGCAGCATCCCAAACTGTTTACAGCCAAATAAATGATGTTGCAGTGCAGGCACTGTTGCAAGCACTTCCTGATATCCCTGGTGCCATCATATAAGTGTTATGGTGCAGAAAGAGGCCATTCATCCCATCATGTATATCCAGAGACCACTTGAGCCACAAAAGGCCAGCAGAGAGTGGCAGAGATCACTCCAGTTTCACCTACTTCAGGTTAGGAAGGAGTAAAAGTAAAACAAAATCACTTTGGATTAACTGCAATTGGAATTGTGTAAAGAGGAGGAGGGTTCATCTATGGTTTTGTCCATGCATTGATTGTTAAAACTCACACACAATACTGTAGATGATCAGGAGATTGCCTGGTAATCAATGTATGTGAAAACATATCCTTGAGAGGGTTAAGAGGAAAATAGGAACAATGGGCCATTCAGCCCACTGAGCCTGTTTCACCATTTAGTAGATTATGGATTTGTAGAATAATTCCTTGACTCTATATGTTTTCATGCCATTGGCTAATAAGTACCTATCACTCTCAAATCTTACTTATTAATTGAGCAATCATCTGCTGTGTTTCCTGGAATTGCGTTCTGCACCTCTATTGCCCTTTGTGAAAAGAAACATTTCTTGATTTTCTGTTGTCTTCTGAACAGGAGTGGAGAGGAATATGACTGGCTGGAAACCAAGTCTTCACTGTTCTTCTTCTCCATCATAGACAGACAATGAAGCATATAAATAAGAAAATTACCTAACACCATTTTCATCTGTTTTTCACTTTTGTAAGACAGTTGACATTGGCAGTTGCTGCAATCGCGGTGTTTACTAGCAGTGACTTCCCACCAGGAGTTCCTCAAGCATGCCTTGTCTGCTGTTTTAGCATTTTCTTCTTCTTCCCTTCCATCAACCTTTAACTAAGTTCATCTGCCACATCTTGCACCACCCAGAGGGCTGGATGGCTGGGAAAACCTGACTGACACCTTATTGTGCCTTTGGAAGTGAATCAATCCTTGTGTGACTTTGCACAGGAGTTTGAAGTTTGGACAAAGGGGGCTGGGCTCACAATGCACTGTGTGTACCACAGGAGAGTATGTGAAGAGAGGGGGGTTCTGTGGTGGATTGGTTGGAAGGCCAGCCTCAGCTCTCCAATGCAGTTGCCCAAAACTCACCCTCTTCACCCTTCTCACTCCACCCCACTTCATGCCCCCTCAGTTTGTCCATGTTACCTCCAAACCCACCTCCATACCATCTCACCAGGCAGCCCCATGTTCACCCCATGATCTTACATAGTCTCCACAATCTCTCATCCAGTATGCACTATAGGAACCATGCAATAGCCATTGTAAATATTTCAAAAATCATTGGAAGTAATTCAATTTCACACGTAGACCAGACTAGGTAAGGACAAAAAATATCCTTCGCTAACAGACATTATTGAACCAGATGGGTTTTTACAATTGACCATGACTATATGGTCACCAATAAAACAGCTTCTAAATTCCAGAGTTTTGCTGAATTCAAATTTCACCATCTACCATGGTGGGATTCAAACCCATGTCCCCAGAACATTATCCTAGGTTCTGAATTACTAATTCAGTGACATTACCACTGCCTGCTACTGCCTTGACTCCATATGCTTTCATGGCCCTGGCTAACAAATATCTATCATGCAGATTCAACATTATTAATTGAGGAAATGTCCACTTGTGTGGGACTTCTATCTCCCATTGTGTAAAGAAATATTTCTCAATTTTCTAACGTCTTCTGAACAGGAGTGGAAGTGAATTTGACTGACTGGAAACCAAGTCTTCACTATTCTTCTTCTCCATCATAAATGGACAGTGAAGAGTGTGAAGAGGAAAATTGCCTAACACCATTTTCTGCTTGTTTTTCTTTTGTAAGACAGTTGACGTTGGCAATTGCTGCAATCAGGGTGTTTACTAGAAGCAGTGACTTCCTGCCAGGAGTTCTTCACATGAGTGCTGTGTTTTTTTCTAAAACAACTCCCTTTCTTTTCTTCCCAAGTCAGTTATATTAATCAGCTGCGCGCTCACTGCAGGGTATGGACAAGCCAGTGCTTCTTATTAACTTAGATGTAAACTTGTATGTGACTCTCTGATGTACCACATTTTGAGAAAATATCGATCAGAATTACTTAATGTCTATGATAGAGAAACAGGCCTTTCAGTCCAAGTGAACAATGCTGACAGTAATGTTCCACACTAACCTCCTCTCACTCTGAACCATTTCCACCCCAACAGAAAAATAGGCAATGTGCGTGTTCATTATGTATCTGCTGCACACATGCAGTGTACATATGTATATACACATGCTGTGCAACCTCATCATTGATATTCCCACTTTCATACTCACCATGTACATTTGCACTGTATTGTATGTCAAGAACACGGTTACTGTAAACTCTGCTAAAAAACAGAATATACTGCCTCCCCCTCACTTTAAAAGTGACCCCCATCATATCCCTATGAAAGAACACTAGACCACCACCAACTTGCTCTGATCATGCTTTTATGAGAATAAGGTCATTTCATTGATAGCAATCCCAGTTTATCACCATCTCTCTGGCCTCTCGTCCATTCTCCATTCATCAGATTTGGCAAGCTTCTGCAATCATAGAGAGACTGAGGATATCCCAAAATTATCTTACAGCAAGTTTGAAGTGCAGTTATGATGTAGGCAATGCAATTTTGCACACTGCAAGCTCCCACTGACAGCAGTGTGATAATGAGCAGAAAATCTGACTATTAGTGATGTTGGTCGAGGGATAAATATTGACCAGTATATTACACTGTATTTCTGTGAAATGGAATCATTGGATCTTTTATGTCCACCTCAGAAAGCAAACAGGACCATGGCTTAATTCTGAAAGACAGTACCCATAACAGTGTAACACTTTCCTTTGTACTATGTGGGAGGGTCAGGCCAGCTTTATGCTGTCTACTTAAATCTCCTGGAGTGGCAACTAATTGAGTGGAAGTGAAGTGTTCCCACTCAACTCCATAGTGTTTAAATTCCAACTCCAGCACTCTGTGTGCTCCTAGACTATAAATTGAAAAAAAGAGAACAGCAAATTGCATTGCATGTGGTTTTGGGTGGTGTCGTAGTATGGGGTTGTCTCAGTATCGCTTGATAGGTTGAGATGACGTGATCCTGTAGTGTGTTTGTTTCTTACCCTGCAATGTGCTGCTTTCCAAAAGTGGCCGTGCATCTGCTGCACAATCTTATCAGCTTGTTCAGCCTGTCATGTCATCATGGGCGGTACAGAACTGATCACAACAAGTCTCTATGCAACTTCTGTAATTTACTGAGACCATGTGCACAGGCTGTAAGAGGAGCAGCTGCTGAAGTATAGGCACAAGGCAACCAGCAACTCAAGTGATGAAAGAACAAGTCCACAGCATGAGCACAGTAAGTTCAACTCCAGCAAGTAACCACGTCGCCAGACATGACCGAGAGAGCATAAGCTGAATTAGAAACTTTTCTCAATTGTGGAGGAATTGAGAATGAAAAGGCAGACTTAAAAGATTGATAAAAGAAGCAAAAGCAACACTAGGAGTAAATTCTTTACGCAGAGAGTGGGTAGGATCTGATGCATTTCCAGAGAATGTAGTGGAGGCTGTTTCAATCAAGTCTTTCTTAAGGGAATTAGACTGTTATCTGAAAAGTTACAATGTGCAGCCTTATAGGGAGAATTGAATGCTAAATGAATTGCTCGTGTGGAGAGCTGGACCAAATGGCTTCCTTCTGCACTGTAACAATTTTGTTATTCTGTGTATTATTGCTGACTTTATTAACCCTGTTGCACCTTTCTAAGGAAAGGAAAAGCTTTAGTACAAAATAAGTTAAATACCTAGCCTCCATTGATAGACACATCAGTTAAAATAATACTCTTCATCAGAAACACTCCTCCACAGTGTTCTTTTTTGAGTGTCTTCTGTATTATATTTTTAATACAGATAGTAGATAATAGTGTAAAAGTAAATGTGAATGAAAGTGGACTTGTGTCAGGATCTGGAGCTAAAAATATTGCTTTAAAAGATTTAGAGATATAGAAAATTCATGGCACAGAAGGAGGTCCAACATTTCTGTAAGTCTCAACATTAAGACAATATTTTCCTTAATACTTAACCCTTTAAACATCATCTGTGTTTCTATCTATATGAGTTGTTTTGAAATAACGTCATTTATAAATAATATGTGAAGGCAGATAGCCTTTAGCTCCATTAAGATAAAAGCTAATAAGATAAGGAATTGTTGATGTAGGCATCCAACCATCATCTTATTAAATGGGAAAGCAGGCTCAATGGGCTGAATGGCCTACTCTTGCTCCTGCATCTTATGAATGTCCTCATCTTCCCTCTCCCTTCCATTCCTCCATATTCTTCCTTAGTATTCATTCTCCTTATTTTAATCCTTCTCTTCCCATTTTCTCTGTTCTGTCAATCTTCTCTCCTCTCCCTTTTACCTGCCTCTCCTTTTTCCTTCTCTCCGTCTCCCTGTCACCTTCTTTCTTTTTCTTTCTCTCCTTCTCTCCTCTCCCTTTCCCCTTTTTCTCTCCTCTTCTACCCTTCTCTTCTGACCAAGTTTTCCCATTCTGTCCTCCTTTACTCTTTCAGCCTGCCTCCTTCCATCCTCTATTCATGCTCTTTCTACTTTCCCCTGTTCGCTATTCCCCTCTAGTGCAAAATGACACTTAAGCTACACACAGCAACGAGTGCAAGTAACCTGTAGGATAGCCGCAGTGAAGCCTGAGAGCTATTATTGAGAAGCTTCAAGGCCCCTGCAGGTCAGCAACACCAAGGTGGGAAAGAACAGGAAAGAGGGTGGGCTTTGAAAAGGAGGAATGGTGGTGCTAAGCTTGGAGTCTGAAAGCTTCAACCAAGAGGGTAGAGGGAGATGAAGTTCAAGAGAGGAAAACAGAGGGGGTGAAGAAGGGAATGTAAAATAAAAAGAGTTCAGCAACTGCATCCAGGATATCTTGGTGGAAGTCAACACCGTCACTGGACCATCTATGTGTTATACAAATATGAGTATCGCAAAGTTTTCCTTCTGTTGATGTTAGATGGTCTTCAAGCCTATTTGTGAAGAATTCACTGAGAACTGGAACATTTTGGCCGAGTCTGTTTCTTGCTCCCTGCAGAGCTGACATTTCCACTCTAAACAGTCCCCCCTCTGATGCTGGCTGGCATTTTTATTTTATCTACACATCTCATGATTATTTTACAGGGTCGAGTTGACCGAATCAAGCTAAATTAAAATAACCCAGCCCTTTAGGACACTGTAACTTTTAAAGGTTAAAGAAATTTTAAAGGAAGCCAGGATGAAAAAAGCATGGGGACAATTGGGTGATATTCTCCTGAGCCTGGAGGTAGAGCCAGCAAGAGGAAGGACAGCATATGCAGGTGACGTTAACAAGTCAATAACAACTGTTAAAGAGGAAGTTAAGTTGCTCAATGCAAAAATGACATTTGTATTTCAAATCTGCCAGTCATCATGCAAAATATAAAATATATACACATTGGTGCCAATTTACTCAATAGAATTTTTGCACAGGAAATATTTTTAAAACGTCTGTGACCTAATAGAGCTGTCATGACAGTTTCCTTTTGGCTGCTTTCTGACAACGAACACATTTAAGACAAACATGTATTTCTTAACTTTCTTTGTTGCCAACTGTGGTTCAGTGCGTAGCACTGAGTCAGAAGGTCAAAACCCACTTTGGAGGCTTGAGCATTATAATCTAAGCCATGTTCCTGGTGGAGCACTGAAGGAGTGCTGCCCTGGTGAAGGTACTGTCAGGCTGGGAGCACTCTGAGGGAGTGCTGCACTGGTGAAGGTACTGTCAGTCTGGGAGCACTCTGAGGGAGTGCTGGACTGAGGGAACATGTTACTGAGGGACTACTGCACCGCTGCACCGAATGGATGTAAGGGAGTTGCCCCAGTGTCCTGCTCAGTATTTATCTGTCTGTCAATAAGTCAGATTGTTTGATGACCATCATATTTCTATCAGTTGCACATTGATGTCTGCAAACTAACAAAAGTCTAATGGAAATGAATAAAATGTCTTAGAGGACTTGACAGGATGGCTACTCACAAGCTGATTTTCTAGGCTTGATAGTTTATGGTTATGGTAGCACATGGTCTCAAGAGAAGAGAGTGATCCCTTAGGACTGAGATGAAGAGGAGCCTCTTCACTCAGAGGGTTGTGAATCTTTGGAAGTATCTATCCAAAGCTTGTCCATTGTTGAATATATTCAAGACATTTGGACAACAAGGGGATCAAGGGATATAGCTTAAGAATGGATACTTCTATTAATTCTTCCATCATATGTGGGCATCACTGACAAGGTCACAGTTTGCACCCACTCTTAACTGCCCATGACTTGAATGGCTTGCTATCGCCACTTCAGAACACACTTAAGATTTAACAACATTTCTATTGGTCTGGAGTCAAACGTGGGTCGGATCAGGATAGGATGGCAGATACCCTTCCCTAAGGGATATTAGGGAATTAGATGGGCATTGATAAGAATGAAAAGGATAATAATGCATTTTTCAATTTCCTTTCAGATTGTTTGAAAGTCAGAAATTATGCTCCATGCCCTCTCCAAGAAACTAGTCGAATGATTCTGAGCCACTACTGAAGTGCAAGTTCAATTATTACTTCTGAGTCAATGCTTCTTATTGAAATGAATAATAATAGTGAGTGCATGGGTTTCTTGGCCACGCAGCAGAGGAATATCATTCTGATGCATTATAACCACACCGGGAAGCTGGAGAACAGGCCTTTGCCCAGCGAGGGCTTGGGTGCAGTTAGAATTATCTTCATGGTAGTCAGTTGCTTCATCGTCATAGAGAACCTGCTGGTATTCTTGGCTATCCTGAACAACACTCGCTTCCGGAGTTGGGTTTACTACTGTATTGCCAACATCACCCTCTGCGATCTACTGACTGGTATTGTCTACATTGTGAACATATGCCTGTCAGGTGTAAGGACCTTTCAAATCACCCCCACCGTCTGGTTCATTAGGGAGGGGCTCTTGTTTTTTGCCTTGGCTGCATCAACATTCAGCCTGCTCATCACAGCGGTTGAGAGATACGCGACTATGGTCAGACCCCTACCTTATGCTTCAGCACGTAAGACCTATCGGGTGTATGTCCTTATCGGATTGTGCTGGCTGGTGGCTTCCCTCATCGGCCTCTTGCCGTTGCTGGGCTGGAACTGCATTTGCAACTTTGAAGAGTGCTCCACTTTGCTACCTCTGTACTCCAAGAGCTACATCCTCTTCTGTGTGGTGATGTTCAGCATCATCATCGTTGGAATAGTGGCACTCTACAGTGGCATCTATCACCTTGTCAGGAACAGTGCCAAGTCTGTGTCCAGCAGTAAAAGCAGGCAGAAGTCCGTGAGGCTGCTCAAGACTGTTTTCATGATTGTTGCTGCCTTTGTGATCTGCTGGAGCCCCCTCTTTGTGCTTCTCTTGCTGGATATCTTTTGCGACACGCCATCTTGCTCCAAGCTGCACAGTATGGAATGGACCATTGCCCTGGCAGTGATCAACTCAGCCGTAAACCCAGTCATTTACTCCTTTGGAAGTAAGGAGGTGAGGCGGGCCATTCTGAAACTCCTGTGCTGCTGCTTCATCAAAGCAGGAGCTCCCTTGCCATTCCTGAGTAGGAGCGAATCTGCCGTTGGAGCTTCCACCGACAGCTCCTACAGACTGAGGGAGAGTTTCCGAAATTCAAAACTGCTGAGCCCGAAGAAGACTCTGCCCAAGTCAGGGCAACTATAGACCATGGCTCAGGAGTTAGGAGCAGGTGGGAAAGCCCAGAGAGCTGCTCCAACTCCTGCATACATCAAAAACATTTTTTAAAATTAAAATTAGGATTCCTTCTGGTGACATTATCGCAGCCTGTTTGAATTAGGTGATCCCCAGCCTTGTAACAGTAAGTGTAGGCCTGGGTCACCTCTGAGTGTTCAAACTCCAATCCAGTAACGTGAGCACTTTTCCTCAGCTGATGCTTCATCACAGTACTGCAGGGGGCGCTGCATTGTCAATAATGCTGTCTTACCATGAGACATTAAGGATCAGTAGAATGTAAAAGTGTCCATCGAAGTTTAATCTGATGGTGCTCCTATGTAGCTTCTTGGGACGTTTTACTAATGTCACTGTTGTTTGGACAATCCCAATGAAGAAGGGCACAATAATTCTCCTGGAATCCAGACCAACATAATGGGTCATGACTTTTGGACTATTCTTGCTCTGTGTGAACTGGTTGCCCTGTTTGCCAACATAACAACAGTGAATATACAAAGAAAAATAATTAATTGCTTGAAGACAGTGCTATATAAATGCAATTTTTAAAGTTTTTCTTACCTCACAAAGCTGTTAAAAATTCAATTCACTCTCATCCCAGGTAGATTCGCCAAATGCTGCTTTGCATTTCTCGAAGTTCAACTGGTAAAAATCGTACTGCTGATTTTATCTGATAGTTCAGATCTTGGGTAGATTGTTAACTAACTTTGTTTTTACAAACCAATTTAAACCACATTATGAGTCTTGCTCAATTGGAAAATTGCACTGGCTGGCTCCAGCATATGTATCTTAAAATAAAGCTGTGTAAGTGCTTGAGATGAACACCAATAGTAAACTATTGCACCATTGTGCTTTTAAGAAAGCTCTTCTGCGGGTTAAAACAATTACACATATAACTAAAAGCAAAGTCTTTACACTTGGAGAATGAGAGATGGGCAAATGTAGATACATCCATAGTAATATCAAACTGGCGGAGACCATTCTGGGGCGGCATGGTGCCTCAGTGGTTAGCACTGCCAGGGACCTGGGTTGAATCCCACCCTTGTGCAGCTCACACATTCTCCATGCGGGTTTGCTCTGGTTTCCTCCCTCAGACCAAAGATGTGCCGGTTACATGGATTAGCCATTGCTAAACTGTAGTGTCCAGGGATGTGCCGACTAGGTGAGTTAGCTATGGAGGCATGCAGGGTTACAGGGATGGGGTGGGTCTGGGTGGGATGCTCGTTGGACTTGATGGGCTGAATGGCCTGCTTCCTCACTGTAGGGATTCTATGATTCAGCCCTCAGGCCTATTTTGCTGGTCAATTAGGTCACAGCAGATCTGCACCTTAGCTCCACTTATTTACCCCTGGCCATGGTTTCCTGATACCTGAACCCATTGAAGAGATCTATTGAGCTCAGCCTTGCCAGGTGCACTTGTTCAACTAATGGCTAATTCTGTAGGTGGGTGGTGCACTTTTGCTCTTGTCTCTCGACATTCTTTTACACAACTAATGGTTTGGCAGAAATATTTGAGAAACACTTTTAAAAAGATATGGGATAAATAGTTGAAACGTGGTAAACGTGTGAGGGGATGGGGGAAGAGCAAGGGATTGGGGCTAAATGAATAGGTCTTTCAAAGTACCAGATATGAAAGCTGAATACCCTTCTTCTGAGTTGCAAGGTTATGTGATTCTAAGGATTGTCCCTTTACCACAGCACCTCACATATTTTTGTTTGCTAAAGAGTTAACAAATTCATTTAACTGATGGGATGCTGTGACAGTTGTGGCACTGTATCTCTTAAAACAGGAGATGTCACCACAAAAAGATATCAGTTAAACACTGGGAAGGGCAGGTGAGCCCACACAAAATGTAAAACATACGCAAAGTCACTTAAGACCACAATATACTCTGCTGGTGTCTCGGTTAATCCATTCAATAGCATCATGTCTCAGCCTACTGATGCATTTTGGGGAAAACCAGATATGAACCACATGAGGGAAAGGAAATGCTCGTAAATATAATGAAAAGAGTTAGAGGCTGATATAACGCTTGAAGACCAGCATTCACAGCGGGGCAGTCACTCTGCTGCAACTTCTAATTCTATGATAGTTACTCATTAACTTATCCTGCACCCCAGACAGTATCAACACCCTAGGTTTGACTGAATCTTTATTAATCATATGGATGTTAAAGATATCAATAAAATGTATATTACTGCACAGTGGAAAATGCAGATAAGACTCAGCACATCTACTAAAGGTGAATCATTAATGAAGGCTTTCCTGTCTTTAGTACATATTCTGTCCATTTACACAGCAATACTTTGATATCAAGCTAAATAAACACAGATGCATTTTAAATTCCTCATTGTGGGTAAATTCGATGTTTAATGAATGCCGCAAGGTTAAAGTTCTGGAATACCGAACCTAAAGATACTGGGAGTAACATTCACCAGGTGGACTGCAGTGAAAGGAGATCATCTCTCGTCTTCTCAAGTTAGGAATGGACAACAAAATGCTGAACTTACCAACGGATCCCTGTGAATTAATATTTTTTAAAAATTGTAACATTTTTTGACATTTGCGAAGTGACCAGTAGCCTGAGAGCAACACTATTTCAATAAACCAGTAATTTTGGCTGCTTCACCATGTCTAACGTACAGGGAAGGATTAGCTATTGTTTTGCAGTAGAATACAAACGCTGTGCGGAAAAGCAAAACTTTCTTTAATATCAAGATTCTTCCTGAAGTGCAGGAGTGGGCCTATGTCTTAAAATATTAAGAGTGTGAGCTTTTTTTTTTAAATAGCCCAAGCTAAAGTAATGGTGGAGTGCACCACAGTATTAATGGAAGAAGTCAAAGCATTAATGAAGCATGTCAAGGTATTAGCAAGAGTGAACCAAAGCATCACTGGACTTCTGAGGAAGGGTCACCGGACCCGAAATGTTAACTCTGTTTTCTCCTTCACAGATGCTGCCAGACCTGCTGAGCTTTTCCGGCAACTTTGTTTTTGTTCATCACTGGACTATGTTGCCTGTGCAGAATGAATTGACTGTACAATAGAGTAACGATAATGTTTGTGTTTACTGCTTCAAACTTAAGCAAAAATTTGTCAATTAGGTTTCAATCTGTGAAGAAATAATTTTGGATGTAATTAAAGGGCTGTTGTTGTCGGCAATTTCCTCCTGTGTGAGTTATCAATCTTCCACTGCAGGTGAAACAGATGTGCTTTGTATGGTTTGAAAGATGAATTAGCATTCACTGCGATCTGACTGCATATACAAATTCTGTGGGGAGGGAAGTCAGTTAAAACTAAACGTGCATAGCAGTTAAGGTAGCAACGATTGGGAAGTGTGGGCGGTGGTGGGGGGGTGCATTTATGCCAAATCTTGCAGCTGTGAGGACAAGTGCTCCTGAGGTTTCTTCACTCACCTATGGGCTATCGCAAGTCCAGCAGAGGCCCAATCTTCAGCCTTGATTCACCAACAACTCAACATAAATCAGACTCTAGGTTAATCTCCAGGAGTCTTCTTTTTTTATATATTAATTTTGTTTATTGGTTATAAAGAGACTACACAGACTTGGGAGAAAGTGTTTTATTTTGACTGAGAGTCAAAGCATCTAAATAATGAACAATGAATTTCTTTCACTGGGTGATGACCCCTGGGGTGAGCTAATCAATGATGGGAGTGTGTTAGAGCAGAGGAGTAGGGACAGCACTTGGCATCAGAATGTTATTAAATAAAACCAAAGTTGGCCACCCTAAGTTGTGGGCTCCTTAGGCCTCAGCATTCAAGAGTAAGGATCTGCCTGAATGTCTAGGCCTGGAGACAAAAGAACTGCAAGAATCCATTCAGTCCCTTGTGCTGGTTCTGACATAATTCAGTGAGATCATGTATCCTAACTCCGCATACCTGCCTATTCCCGCTATCTCCTTGGTTAATAAAAATGTCAGATTGAACTTAATAATTGATTTTAGCATCAATTGATATTTGGAGAAGAGTTTTACTCTACTGTTTCTTTTTCTACCTTTCCTTCTATCAACCTTTGTGTGGACCCATTTCCTTGTTTCACGACTAAAAGCTCTAGTTTTAAAACTAGGCCCCAAGACCTAAACTAAGCTCCACCAGCCAGTGAAAATAGTTCCTATTTTCCTCACCAGTTTGTCGAAATATGTTGAAACCATCGACAAACTCATACTTTAAATCTTCTAAATCCCAGAAATAAAATCCTGATTTTAGTTCAGGCATCTTTCCAGAAAATCTGTGATGTTTGTTCTAAAAGCTAATATAGCCTTCTTGAAGTTTTATGCCCAGAACTCACTATGGCCAGTTAATTAGACTTTTTACTAAAACAGAGACTGTTTCAGATACTAAAACTATAGTGGAAACATGGCTTCGAGCTCCTTGTATACTAGTCTTCGAGATATAAAGGCAGGATTCCTTTAGCCTTTTGAATATTTTCTATTTGTGAGATTTTAATGATACACATACCTGGTCCCCCAGACTTCCAGTGCTTTTAGCTTTTAACCATTGACTATTTTCCATGAAATTCCATTACAATGAAACCAACTTTCTTCCCTCCTGGTTTAGTGGAAGGTTTTGCAAATTAAACAAAAGGTCCTTAATGGTATCCTCTTGTTCAATACAGTTCTGTGATAATCAGTAGAAAGCTTCACATCAGGGCTGTAGCTATGAGTGGCTTAGAGAGATTTTTTCCTGCTTACTCCTTGTCTTCGCTAGAATCATAGAAAACCATTCAGCCCAGAGTATGCACACCAACCATCTGTAAAATCAAAATCAGCCAATTCCATAGCCCCACCCTTTCCCCATAATTTGAAAATTCTCTCTCTTCAAGCACTTATCCAATTCCCTTTCAAAAGCCACAAGAAATGATTTGGATGAGAATATAGAAGGCAGGGTTAATAAGTTTGTGGATGACACCAAAATTTGTGGCATAGTAGACAGTGAAGAAGGTTTTCTAAGATTACAAAGGGATATTGATCCAATGGGTCAATGGGCTGAAAAACGGCAGATGGAGTTCAATCTGGATAAATGCGAGGTATTGCATTTTGGTACAACAAACAAGGGTAGGGCTTATACAATTAATGGTAGGGCCCTGGGTAGTGTTGCAGAACAGTGGGACCTAGAGGTGCAGGTAAATAATTCTTTGAAGTCTGCATCACACATAGACAGGGTGGTTAAAAAGGCATTTGGCACGCTTGCTTTCATTGCTCAGTCCTTTTAAGTATAGGGGTTGGAAGTCATGTTGAGGTTGTACAGGACATTGGTGAGGCCTCTTCTGGAATACTGTGTCCACTTCTGGTTGCCCAGTTGTAGGAAGGATATTATTAAGCTGGAGAGGGTTCAGAAGAGATTTACCAGGATGTTGCTGGGTATGGAAGGTTTGAGGTGTAAAGAAATGCTGGGTACGCTGGCACTTTTTTCCACTGAAGCATAGAAGGTTGAGAGGCAACCTTATAGAAGTTTATAAAATAATGAGGTGTAGAGATAGAGTTAATGGTAGTTGTCTTTTCCCTAGGATGGGGAATTTCAAGACTGGGGACACATTTTTAAGTTGGGAGGAGAAAGATTTAAAAAAGACGTGAGGAACAATTTTTTTACACAGAGGGTGGTTTGTGTGTGGAATGAACTTCCTGAGGAAGTGGTGGATGTGGGTACAATTACAATGTTTAAAAGACATTTAGGTAAGTACAGAAATAGAAAAGGTTTGGAGGGATATGGGCCAGGAGCAGGCAGGCAAGACAAGTTTAGTTTGGAATTATGTTCAGCATGGACTTGTTGGACCAAAGGGTCTGTTTTTGAGCTGTATGACTCTAAGTGAATTTGGCTCAATTCAACGTCCTCATTTGCTGCTTTTCAGTTCCTAATCACCACTGGCTGGAAATGTCATCCTGAGGCTGTGACATAAATGCAGGCTCTTTGTGAAATAACTCCACAGTATCTGATCAACAAGTCGCCCTTTATTTACACATGGCAAGTCCTTTACACTGATCCAGCTCCCTCAGAGCCAGCTCTCAGAGTGAACAGAACCTCTGACCCTCCTGTTTATATCTGTCAGCCAAGGCTCCCTGATTGGACCAGATTAACAGCCGCAATCAGGGAGCTCATATTCTATGATGTTCACCTGGCTACACTTTGTTTTCTTTATCCACGTCCAGTAGGATATTGTTAGGCCCGACTCCAGTTCCTGCTGAACTGAGCCAGTACTTCACAACTCACTGATATCAGCTCAGTAGGCACAGGAGGTCAGGGCCTGTTTTCCAAAACCTCTGGCCACAGAGGCCAGGCCCAATCCTAGGATCGACATCTGGCAGTCATACACGAACACGAACATTTTTAGGTTGTTACACGAAAACCTGAACCAAAGCCCATGTTCCAGCTACTGGTGTCCCAACATGTTCATAGATGGTCTACTGCCTCCCCATGGCCAATTGAGAATGCAAACACCAGCCACATGCAGAACTATGCCATTCACTCAGGTCCCAGATGCCTATCCTCTCACAACCTGATGTGCCAGTGCCCTTTTAAATACAGAGAAGATTGAAGTCTTTATCCTTCTATCTCCACTACAAACTCTGTTCCCTAGCCTCTTACTCCATTCCCCCTCTCTGGCCAAAGTCTTGATGCTGCACCAGCCTGTTCACAATCTTAGCATCTGATTGGACCCTGATCTGAGTCCTTAGCCCCACGTTCTCTTGATTATTAGGGCTACCTCCTTCCACCTTGTAACATCTCCACCTAATCTGTGCAGCTGAAACTCAACCAGGCTTTCCCCTCTGGATTAGACCATTGTCGTGGGCCTCCCAGTTTCCAACCCCAGGCACGAGCTCCTCAAATCTCTCTGGTGCACCACATCTTAATTTGCTTCAGGTTCCTGTAGTTCCCAATCCAGCAAAGCCTTGATTTTAAAATTCTCATCTTTTCCAAATCTATGGACTCACCACTCCCTGTCTCTGTAGCTTTTTGCAGCTTTACATTGCTCCCAAAATCCACATGTTCCTCTAGTTCTAACATCTTGCACTTCCCTGATTTTAAATCTCTCCACCAAAGGCGAATATGTTTTCAGTTGCCTGGGCCCTCAGCTCTGAGCTTTCAACCCGGCACAGTGGCTCAGTGGTTAGCACTGCTGCCTCACAGCACCAGGGATCTGGGTTTGATTTCACCCTCAGGCAACTGTCTGTGTGCAGTTTGCACATTCTCCCCGTGTCTGTGTGGGTTTCCTCTGGGTGCTCCGGTTTCCTCCCACAGTCCAAAGATGTGCAGGTTAGGTGGATTGGCCATGCTAAATTGCCCACAGTGTTTATGGATTTGTAGATTAGGTGGATGGGATGCTCTGTGGGTCAGTGTGGACTTGTTGGGCTGACAGGCCTGTTTCCATACTGTAGGGATCTAACCCGTTCCCCCTCCAAAAACCTTTCCATCGCTTTATCTCTCTCTCTCATAAGCTTAGCAACTCTCCTTCCCTAAAATATGGAGGCAATGGCCTAGTGGCATTATCGCTGGACTGTTAATCCAGAGATCCAGGTAATGTTCTGGGGACCTGGGTTTGAATACTGCACAGCAGCTGGTGGAATTTGCTGGTTGTTGGGAAAAACCCAGCTCTGGTTCACTAATGTCCTTTAGGGAAGGAAACTGCTGTCCTTGCCTGGTCTGGCCTACATGTGACTCCAGACCCACAGCAATGTGGTTGACTCATAATTGCCCTCTGGGCAATTAGGGATGGGCAATAAATGCTGGCCTGACCAGTGATGCCCTCATCCCATGAACGAATGAAAAAAAGTCATCTTTACCTGGGGCCTATTATATGTGACAAATTATATCTCAAATTCAAATTTTGTTTGGTGACACTTCCCTGAAGGACTTTGGGACATTTTGCTATTCCTGAAACACGCCCAGCATGATGATGATTGATCGAAGTTAGTGAGTGAGCGTTTACTTCAGAGAACCTGAACTTAGCCACTGTGAACAGGATTTCATTAAAGGCAACTGCTCTCCAAATAGCTAAGTTCTGGACCAGTCTGAGAAGAACCTTCTTTGGAGTTTGGAAGACAAATTGAAGAAACACAAAATGATTATCACTGTCGATTGTCGAAAAACCCATCTGGTTCACTAATATCCTTCAGGGAAGGAAGCTGCCACCCTTACCTGGTCTAGCCTACATGTGCCTCCAGATCCACAGCAATGTGGTTGATGATTCACTGCTATCTGGTCAATTAGGGCTAGGCAATAAATGCTGGTCTAACCAGCATTGCCCTCATCCCACAAACGAATTTTAAAATACCCACAAAAGCAAGGAAGGGATGCTCAGCTAAAGCAAGAGTGAAATCAAACTCACATACTCGCAATGCCCATTCTCTCTCTAGTCATCTGCACGAGAGAGACTTGACACCACAGAATCTGACACAATCAGAATCAGATAAGGTCAGGCTGCATAGGAGGAAACAACAAGGTTGGCGTAATATAGCTTCGGAATTTACTTCATGTTGTTGTCACAGGAATAAGTCTATTATAAAATGAGTTTGAAAATGGCTCACACCAGGAACATATTTAGGTGTTAGCAAGGGCTCATATATAGTGCAACAGACTGGCACATTCCAAGGTCCAGGACTACGTGCTGAGGGACACACTAAAGCTTGGGGCATTGTCACTAAGGTGGAGTGGGGAAAGACCACCATCTAGGGTCTTTCTGCCAAAGTACAATGAAGGTCTGTTCAGTTGTCAGAACCTCTCATTGCCTTAAAATGAATATAAATAAATATAAAATATAAGCTTCCTGCATATGGAGAAAATGCCTTTGTTTCTGCAACTGTAGAGAAGCTCTGAGAAATACAAAATTCCAATATTTGACTCTTTTCTCTGCAACGACTGTACAGAACTGATTTAGAACCGTTGTATGTACTAACAGATGATTTATGAATAAAGTATATTTGAAATTAGAAAACTAAATCTGAAAGTTGTTAACTTTTCACAAAACCAGAATGAAGATGAGCTGTGGGGTGACTTGATCTCCTTTCAGAAATATTGACCTGACTTTCACTTGGTTACAGAAGTGGATTTGTCTATATCTTTCAAACAAAAAGTAAAAATAATGCTTGGTCCCTGCTGGGTGTTGGATGACAACAACAAGAAGCTAATGATCTCAGCTCCTGTGACTTATATAACGGGAAGGCATTACTCTTCAAGTGTAATATCCTTGTTGTCAGAGTTCTCAGTAACACAGGCCAACAGGCCTGTTTCCATACTGTAGGGATCTAACCCTTTCCCCCTCCAAAAACCTTTCCATTGCTTTATCTCTCTCTCTCTCACAAGCTTAGCAACTCTCCTTCCCTAAAATATGGAGGCAATGGCCTAGTGGCATTATCGCTGGATTTTAATCCAGAGATCCAAGTAATATTCTGGGGATCTGGGTTTGAATACTGCACAGCAGCTGGTGGAATTTGCTGGTTGTTGGGAAAAACCCAGCTCTGGTTCACTAATGTCCTTTAGGGAAAGAATCCTTGCCTGGTCTGGCCTACATGTGACTCCAGACCCACAGCAATGTGGTTGACTCATAATTGCCCTCTGGGCAATTAGGGATGGGCAATAAATGCTGGCCTGACCAGTGATGCCCTCATCCTGTGAACGAATGAAAAAAAGTCATCTTTACCTGAGGCCTATTATATGCGACAAATGATATCTCAAATTCAAATTTTGTTTGGTGACACTTCCCTGAAGGACTTTGGGACATTTTGCTATTCCTGAAACACGCCCAGCATGATGATGATTAATGGAAGTTAGTGAGTGAGCTGGAATGTGCCTGCAACTGTGTGGTAATCCCTGGCAATGTGATTTTTCACTTTTATTTAATCATTAAATCACGATGCCAGGAACCCCTACAATCACAGCAAGAGGGGTGTAGGCTAGCATTCATCATGCAGCAGAGAGAGAGTCCTATAATTTTCAACTGATGACAATCAGACTTCCTTGAATGGAACAGAATCTGTAAAATAAAAAAAGGGCAGAGAGTGAGACAGAGATTGATATGATTAATTGCAGTCACAGCTTTATATAACAATAGAACAATGGTAGGCCATTCAGTTCTTCGAACCTGCTCTGCCATTCAATTAACTTGTGACTCATCTGATTTTAATCTCAACTCTACTTGCCTGCTTATCCCTCAACCTTTTATTCCCTTGGTCATCAATCTACCTCTGCCTTAAGCATACTGAAAGATTCTGGACCCACTGCCTTTGAGAAAGAGAACTCCAAAGACTCCCTGCCTCACAAGAATTCTTCCCTCACTATTTTAAATGGGTGCCCATTTATTTTTAGTTCTAGAATCTCCCACAAGAGTAACCATCCCTTTGACATCCACCCAGTCAAGTACCCTCAGGATCTTATACTCATCTTACAAAATCACAACAGTCCATTCTGAAGAAGGGTCTAGGCCCGAAACATCAGCCTTCCTGCTCCTCTGATGCTGCTTGGCCTGCTGTGTTCATCCAGCTCTACACCTTATTATCTTAGTCTATTATGCTTGTTTGGATATTGTATTTACTCAAATGAACCTCATCTATCTCTACGGAAAAAGTTCTGCTTTAATTCTGTTGTTAATTCATTTGGATCTTTGTTTACCAATTCCCCCACGCTTTTTTTTTTATTTTTGCTTTCTACACATTTTGTTATCATCTTTGCTCCCAGTATCTCTGCCCCAAATGCTGGCCATGTTAGAAAAAAGTTTGGCCTTTCCCAGATGGAGTATAGACATTTGCCAGCAGGGGGCACCAAATAGCAATCAGGCACAGCACTCGTGGGCTCATATTCACTCTCTTAGAGCAGCTGCTAGCCACTGTGCCTGACATAACTAACTGCAGAGGCCAAGGATTAAAACTTGGGACCCTCCTGACTGACACTGGCAATGCCTTTTATCATTCTCATCCTTCATATCTCCGATAACTGTCTGGGAGATCTGCACTCTGCCCTGATGTGACACGTTCAAGGTTTATCACATGGTTTGGGTGGAGTTTGCACGTTCTCCCTGTGTCTGCGTGGGTTTCCTCCGGGTGTTCCAGTTTCCTCCCACAGTCCAAAGATGTGCAGGCTAGGTGGATTAGACATTGTTATTGTGGGATTACGGGAAAAGGGGCTGGGTCTGGGTGGGATGCTTTTCAAAGGGTCAGTACAGACTTGATGAACTGAATGGCCTCTGTCTGCACTATAGTGAAAAGCTTTGATTCCGAGCGGTACAGGTAGATCACAGTATGCAAAAGATGTACAGATCAAAAAAACTTAAGAGGCATACAGGTTACACTGCACAGGGCATGCGCTAGGCGAGATCGACGTTAGCAAGATCAGCATTATTTGAGGCTAGAGACTCCATTCATCACTCCGATAATGGCTGGGAAGAAGCTGTTCCTGAACCTGCTCGTGCATGTGTTCAGGCTTCTGTATCTTCTGCCTGACGGAAGAGGTTGTAGGAGGTGTAATGTGTCTTTGATGATGTTGGCAGCCTTTCTGCAGCAGTGAGTCATGTAAATGGAGTCCATGGATGGAAGATTAGCTTCTGTGATGGTCTAGGTTGTGCACACTACCTTCTGTAGTTTCTCACAGTCCTGGACAGAGCAGTTGCCATACCAGGCTGTTTCGCACGTGGACAGTATGCTTTCAATGGTGTATCTGTAGAAGTTGGTGAGGGACCTTATGGACACGCCAAATTTCCTGAGCCGTCTGAGGAAGAAGAGGCGTTGTTGTGCCTTCTTGACCATCACATCTATGTGGGAAGTTCAGGACAGGTTGTCGGTTATCATCAGTCCTAGGAACTTGATGCTCTTCACCCTTGCAACCTCAGTTCCCTTGATGTAGATGGGGGCATGTTCTCCTCCTTTCTTTCTGAAGTCAATTATTAGTTTTTTAGTTTTGCTGACGTTGACAGAGAGGTTGTTTTCATTGCACCACATCACCAAGCCCTCTATCTCCCTCCTGTAGTTTGACTCGTTGTTGTTAGATATCCGTCCCACTTCAGAGGTATTGTCAGTGAACTTGTAGATGGCGTTCATTCAAAATTTGGCAACACAGTTGTGGGTGTACAGTAGGGGGCTGAGGACACATCCTTGGGGGGCTCCAGTGTTGAGTGTTATTGTGGAGGAGATGCAGTTACCTATCCTCACTGATTGTGGTCTGTGGGTCAGAAAGCTGAGGGTCCAGTTGCACAGGGCAGAGCCGAGACCAAGGTCATGCAGTTTTGACATCAGTCAGGAGGGGATAATGGTGTTGAAGGCAGAGTTGTAGGCAACAAGCCGGAGTAGACTACTGATAATAGCTGTGCTTTTCACTGCTTGGGCCCTGAGCTGTGCCATTCCCCTCCTAAACCCTCCACCTCACTTGCTACCTAAAACCACCTTTTGTTGCCTGTCCTAAAGTTTCTCTAGTAGGCTCAGGGTCATCTTATAATTGGAAACCCACTATAGTCCCAAAGGTGGGGTAGGAAGAGCGCAAGGGCAAGAGCGAGGACTGGTGGAGATTCAGAACAAGGCTAAGGAAGGCTTCATGGTGACCTCAGCTAGTGCGGGAGTTGAATCCATGTGGTCAATGTCAATCTGCAGTGCAAACTAGCTGCCCCACCCACTGCTTCCATTACTTTTTATATTGGATAGCACTCCTGAGAGCAGCCTTACAAGTGTTGAAGGTGCTAAATCCAAACTTCCACTTCTCTGTAAACTGTTTGAAAACCAAGACATTTTTCTCTTGTGAAATCTCGGGCACCTCTCCGAGAGCAGGGTAAATGCAGGAGTAAAGAGAGTCCATTTCCAGCATGGTCCCGGAGAGGATGGAACCTGAGAGTCGTACACACGATGTCACTAAGGTGCTGGGGGATTTGTTTTGTCCTACCCTGACAAACCCTCCCTATCCTCCTGACACAGTTACCTGTTCCACCTGCTGGCAGTCCAAAAATGTGGCAGAATCTGAAATCTGGCACGGTCTGGGTTCTGATGGTGCCAATTTGACTTTAGACCCAAGCTTTCTAAACACATGAAACTCAAGTCAGGCAGCATCTGCTGAGAAAGAAAAACAGAGATAATGTAGAAATTATGCTTTCCTCTCTCCACAGATGCTGTCAGATCTGTTGAACGTTTCCAGAATTTTCTTTTCACATTTTTCAGCATCTGCAATAATTGCTTTTGTACAGATATTTTCAAAATCAACCTGTTCAGAAATGTTGTGATAGATTGCTGGAGCAGCTAAGACCTGATCCCAGGATTTCTGGGCTTGGGGTGCAGAGGAGGTTCACTAGGTTGATTCGGAATTGAGAAGGTTGCTTTATGAAGAGAGATTGAGTAGATTGGTACTATATCCATTGGAATTTAGAAGAATTATGGGGCAATCTTATAGAAACATATAAAATTTTACAGGGAACACATAAGATAGAAGCAGGGAGGTTGTTTCCACTAGCAGGTGAAACTAGGACAAGCGGTATAGCCTCAAACTAAAGGGGAACAGATTTAGGACTGAGTTGAGGAGGAACTTCTTCACCCAAAGGGTTGTGAATCTGTGGAATTCCCTGCCCAGTGAAACAGTTGAGGCTACCTCATTGAATGTTTTAAAGGCAAAGATAGATAGATATTTGAATATTAAAGGAATTAAGGGTTATGGTCAGCAAGTGGGTAAATGGAGCTGATCCACAAAAAGATCAGCGATGATCTTATTGACAGGTGGAGCAGGCTCGATGGGCCAGATGGCCTACTGCTGCTCCTATTTCTCATGTTATGTTTTCTTTACCTGGCTAAGCTCATCCGGAGAATCCCATGCAGAAAGATTATATGCATCCATAGGGAATATTTGCAGGAATTGCACAAGTACGTTTTGAGATGAGTTGTTACTCTACACATTTTCCAGAATTACTTTGCTACCATTTCCCTTCAGTTGTGACAACTGCTGCACAGCACATTTTGGTCAGGCTTTCCCTCCATGTTTCTACAACATTGTGCGTGCTCCCCTCTGTGCAGTCAGAAAATCCTATGCATGAGACTTGAGCACATAACGTAGGTTGATGCCCATTGTATACAGCAGTTGATCTGGAGATGATTAACCAAGATACAAATGTAGCGCTGTCCACCAGGTTATTAGTAACAGCCTCTCACAGGAGCTAGTTAATGTGCTAATCTTACCTCAACAGCTAACAACCATGTAACTTAAGTATTTCCTAAGAGATACCAGGCTAACCTATGTCTTGTATCAGTCCTTAAATGGTGAACTCTATCATAGGCAAGGTACAATATAACAATGCACCAGCTGCAGACATCTCTTACAACAATGTTCTGCTGGGATGCTGTACTGAGGGAGTGCTGCAGAGGTGCAGCCATCAGGTGAGATGCTACACCAGGGCCCTGCCTGTTGTCCTTAAGTGGGTGTTGAAGAATCCAAGGCAGTTATAAATTTTCTCCAGTATCCTTTTGTCATCTTAATTTTTTGATGGGGTGTGGGCATCATTAGCAAGACCAGCATTCGTTGCCCTTCCCTTGAGCTGAATGCCATGTCAGAGGGCAGTTAAGAGTCGACCACATTGGTGGGCGATTGGAGTCACATGTAGGCCACACCAGTAAGGAATAGCAGATTTTTGTCCTCAAAAAAGGATACTAGTGAACCAGATGGTTCTACAATGGTCGATAAAATGTGGAGGTGGAGGCACACAGCAGGTCAGACAGCATAAGAGGAGCAGCAACGTCAATGTTTCGGGTTGGGACCCTTCATCAGAACTCGACAATAGTGGTGTCACTGCTATAGTAATGCAGAAGACCAGGCTAATACACTGGGGCATGGGTTCAAATCACAAAATGGGAGCTGATGGAATTTAAATTCAATTAATAAAATTAGGAATTGAAAGTCAGTCTTGGTAATGCTGATCATGAAACTATCAATTGTTGTGAAAACCTATTTGGGTTTTAGAGAAGGAAAATTATTAACTAGACAGAGCCAGAATGGCATGGGACTCTAGATCTACAGTTGTGTTGTTGACTCTTACTGTGCTCTAAAACAGCCAGCAAGCCATTCAGTTTCATAGGACATAGGGGCAGAAGTTGGTCATTTAGCCCATTGTCCGAGAGCGATTGGGGATGGGGAATAAATATCAATTTAGCCAATGACCCCCACATCTGTAAAAGGGTAAAATTTTTTACACCAGTTTCATAGTAGTAGTTACAGGTCCTCATTTCCCAATTTATCAACTGTATTTATATTCCACATGATGGTATTTGAAGTCAGAGGTTTAGTCCCAGCCTCTGGATTATCAATCCAATTACATGAAAATTATGCCTCCATCTCCTCTTGTCAATACCTATTTTTCAATTAATGCCACTGAAAACATATGAGTTGAGCACTGTCACTTTCCTCTAGCAGCAGATTGCTGTGAATAATTTGGCTGCTGCACATCCTAAACTCTAAACATCTCCCCTTCAAAATGTATCTCATTTGGGATATCCTGAAAGGAGCTATAGAAATGCAAGTCTCTCTTATTTTCAAACACATGCAAGAGATATATCAGGGCAGAACTCAAACTTTCAGCCTGAGCTGCTCCATTGTTCTCTCCTCAAATTCTACACATAGATGGTGGCACAGATGGGAACAATCTATGGTCAGAACAAAAACAGTGTATAAGAACTGCCCTTGCACATCTAAAAAGTGCCTCACCCCTTGCATCTTCATATTCCTCCTCAATTGCAGCTCCCAGGGAGTCAGGTCTTCCCTTTATTTGCTCTTGTGCAAACATGGACAACGTTTCTCTCAGTGGGTGCCATGTAAAAACTTTGCCAGGAGTGCGAAGAGACCTTCTTGTGCCAACATTTTTTTTGCACCAAACCACTCCACCCCCACCAGGTGAAACTGTACACATTGCTGTCCTTCTAGTCAGTTCGTCCAAAGGGGTATCTCACATGGAGAGGGATGGCACTATACTTCGACCCAGGTAAAACTAAATCTCAAAAAAAACAGAAATGGCTATGATGGCAACAAGAGATAGGGTTTGAAATTGGAGACGTTTTTATTGCAAGCATGGGAGAGGGCAGGGAGATGGTTCAATTATAATGATTGTAATCTGACAGTTGTGAGCTGCTAGTCTGGGCACATTTGTTGCAGTTTAGACTAGACCAGTTTCTCAAGCATTGCCAAATCAGCTCCAGTTATTTGTTCAAAATGAAGCCTTTTTCAAAGGCTTAGAAAAGCAGCACGAAAGTTTCATTTTTCTTTCTACCCCACCCAAAAACTTGTCATCTGACTGCTCAGGGGAATTTCTCTAAAACCTCGCCCATGTGATCATTATTTATAGATGGATATTGACTGTGGAAGGAATCACATTCTACCGGTTTTCCCTTGTCTATACTGGAAGACAAAGAGGGACAAAAATCAATTTAAACAGTCTCTTTCCTTACCCAGCAGCACTGAGGCTAATTGTTGAGTCTCTTCCAAATATACTACCAGCCCAGCAACCTCAGCACGAACCATCATTAACAATTGGAGGGGAGTTTCTGGAAGGGGCTGGATGTTGCAGTAACGCCCAGAGATTAATATCTATGATGTTTAACTTAACAAACCTCCATTTACAATGGGGCCTGATTCAACAGCACCAGCAAGAGGCAAATATGACTGTAGTCGCACAAAGTCAAGGTGAACAGTTTATTATCAGAGAAGGAGAGAAAAAAAAGACTTGCATTTTAGATGGCATTTTCACAACCTTTGGAAGTTAAGGAATTTTACAACAATGAAGTACTTTTGAAATATAATTACTGTTGTAATGTAACAGACTGAGGAAAAAGTAAAACTTGGATTTCCACTGCCTTTTACAACTTTAGGACATTCTAAAGTGCCAAGACAGCCAATGAAGTACACTCAAAGTGCAGTCACTCTTATAACCTCCCAACTCTCCTTTTACAGCACTTTCCAAATCTGGGGCCACCACAAGTTAGAAGGACAAGGCCAGCAGATAGCTGGGAACATTACTATGTTCCTATCCAAAGCACGCACATGCTGTCATGGCACATATAATCACAGTTCCTCCATTACTGCTGGATCTAAATCCTGGAATTCCCTTCCGAAATAGGCATATCTCCATCACACAGGCAGCATTGATTCAAGAAAATAGCTCATCACCACCCTGTAGGGCAATTAGGGATGTTGAATAAAAAATGTAAGAATTGGAGTTGTCAACTTAAGCCCAACAAAACTCCCACTAACCAGACAATCTCAAAGAAGCCCTTGTTGTCAGAATCATCCACCCACCCAGTTCTCACTGAGGGGGTCACATCAATTTTCAAACCTTGAAATGGGGTCATAGTAGGAAAAAAGTTTGGGAAGCACTGAATTAGTCATTTTAAAACCACGTGGTATATGTGGGACATGGTTTCACTTTAGTTCATTGTCAATTTTGTCCAGGTAACACTTCAAACATGTGTCTTTTGACTTTTCTGCATTCCCATTACACTAGAGGATGGTTCCATGTTTATTGACCTTTTTATCATTCCTCCCAGGCATGCTAACTATTAGTATACTCTTACACTGACTAATAATGACCATCCTGTGAACGATTAGAAGTGGGGGGGGGGGGGGGGGGTGTGTGTGTGTGTGTGTTTTTAAATTCTTTTAAGGGATGTGGGTGTCACTGACTAGTCCAGCATTTATCGCCCATCCCTAGTTGCCTAGAGAGCAGGAGTAAACCACATTGCTGCGAGTCTGGATTTACATGTAAAGGGCAGATTTCCTTCCCTAAAGGGCATTAGTGAGTCAATGACAAAAATGTCCAGTACTAATTGAATCTCTGAAGGGGTGGCAAGATGTCATCTTCTAATCTGTACAGCACTGGAGTTACCTTCAATGTTGAAATAAATTTTGACTGAATCACGGTGCCAATGCCAACTGTCTAGTATGTTAAATTTATAGTGTGTACTATATTGTTGATTTCTTCTCATTGTTGCTAGGCAACAAAGGATTAGTGGCTCAAGTTGATATATTTGTCCATTGCTCGCTTTGTGGAGAAAATAAAAGAGCAGGACTAGCAGTGCTTGAACTGTACTGTGTGTCCGTTAGTTGATATGTAATTTGCTAAATATATTGCAAGAAATAGTTTGAATTCCTGCACCATGAGACTTGCACTGATAGAATCTTGCTGTCATTTGGGCTATGCAAAGACCAGGGAGTGAACTCTCCCCAATGTCCTGGCCAATATTTATAATTTAATCAACATAACTGGGAAAAACACAAACAGTGATTAACTGATGTAGGAGCAAATTACTTCAGATGCTGGAATCTGTACTGAAAATAACAATGCTGGAGATTAAGTGGATCAGACAGCATCCATGGAGAGGAGCAAGCTAATGTTTCGAGTCTAGATGATTCTTCATCAGAGCTGAAGTGAAGTGTGGAGGGGACAACATTTATGTTATGGGGGGTGGTGGGTTGGGTGGGGATGGTGGTAGTGGGTGTAAGGTGCTGGTGGAGGAAAGATGTTGATAGTTCAGAATAAGTGATGGGAATATGAGAATGGCAGAACGATGGTGTGTCTTCTGCCAGACTTGAAAGGACAGGCACTGACCTGAAGAAGGGTAATACCTGAAACATTGACTGCCCCTTTCCTCCAGATGCTGCCTGGCTTGTTGTGTTCTTCCAGCCTCCTGTTTGTCTACCTTGAAAGGACAGGCACTGGGACTGGGGGGGTGGGGGGTTAGGACATGATAACAAGCTTAAAAGAAAGGTTCACAATTTGAAAGTGTTTAATTCAATATTAAGTCCAGAAGTCTGTAAAGTGCCTAGTCTGAAGATGAGATGTTGTTCCTCCAGTTTGCGCTGTGATTCACTCGAGCATTGCAGCATACTGTGGACAGACATGTGGGCACACGAGTAGGGTTTGGAGTCACACTTAGGCCAGACCAGGTAAGGATGGCAGTTTTCTTCCGTAAAGAGAATTAGAGAACCAGATGGGTTCTTCCCGACGATTGACAATGGTTTCATGGATATCAGGAGTCTCTCAATTCCAGATTTTTATTGAATTCGAATCCACCATCTGCCATGGTGGGTTTTGAACCTGTGCCCCCAGAATATTTGCTGGGTCTCTGGACTAACAGTCCAGCAATAACATCACTAGGCCCTCACCTCCTCAGCGATTTACAGGGATGTTGCTGAGAATGGAAATTTTTAGCTCTGGGGAACAACTGGATGGGCTGGGTGTGTTTTCTTTGGAACAGGGGATGCTGAGGGGAAAGCTAATTTAATCTAGATGTACAAAATTTACACTGGCAGAGAGATCGAGATGGACAGGATTAGAAAACTTTATTCCCCTTGGTTAAGACTTAAAGTAAGAGCTATGAGATTGAAGAGAATTGTTTTTTCCCCCACCCAGACGGTGCTGAGAATACAGAACTCAGTGCCTGAGTTGGTTGGCTGAGGCAGAAATCCTCAATATTTAATGTAATGCACAACCTACAAGGCTACAGACCAAAATTTGGACAGCGAGATGAGGCTAAATCGATACTTTCCAGCTGGGGAGACAAGCTGCACCTAAAGGTTTCCTTGTGTTCTATAAATTTCCACAATTTTATAATTTGTATGATACTTTGATAGAATATTGAGAATAAAATTTCGTTATCCTCTCCATCCAAATCTCTCTCTGTTTGTCTCCATTTTGACAGAACATTGGTGTCTATGCAGGCTCTCTTTAAGGCACCAAGATATTCCCAGAGTTTTGCCTCTCGTCTGTCCTTGTCTCAGTTTGTACTTAATGAAACACAGAGGATTGCTCACATTCACAGTGTAGAGGTCACGGTCAAAGATTCTCCTCAGCTCGCCATTGATCCATACTCCCATCCTGAGGCAGCATCTTCAGGGCTGGTCAGGAGATTGGGCACATGGGCTGCTTGTAGAAGTCAAATGAAAAACCTGTATCGTTAGAAACAAGGAGAAAATTGAAGGGAGGTTGATAGGCACATTTGTCTCCAGAACAGCATTTGGTCTCAGAACCATGCATTTGAACATCGATTTATTATAAGTTTCTTCAATAAATACTGGGCAAGCTGCCACATCTGTTGAACTCCTGAATTCTCCATGATTCATCGCACCATTCCCTAGGCTGTCATTAAGAATACAAATATAGAATCCCTACAGTGTGGAAGCAGGTCTTTCAGCCCAATGAGTCCACACCGATGAACCAGAGAGCATCCCACCCAGACCCAGACCCAGACCCAGACTCCACCTTACCCCTGTAACCCTGCATTTCCCGTGGCTAATCCACCCAGCCTGCACATTCCTGGACACTATGGGCTATTTAGCATGGCCAATCCACCTAACCTACATGTCATTGGAGACTGTGGGAGAAAACCCATACAGACAAGGGGAGAATGTGCAAACTCTATACAGACAGTTGCCCAAGAGTAGAATCGAACCCGGGTCCCCGGTATTGTGAAGCAGCCATACTAACCACTGAGACACCATGTAGGAGGAACGACCAGGTAAACCAAAATGTATCTGTTAGATTATGCCAAGTTTGGGTCTCATAAACTGTTGGAGAAATAGCTTCTCCCAGAACAACCAAGACTTGCAGAGTTCAGGCAAGAAACAGTTAGAGAACTGCTTGCATCCAGAACCAGGGGTCATAGTCTACGGATACAGATCATATAGGACTAAAATGAGGAGAAAGTTCTTCTTCACCCAGAGAGAGTGGTGAGCGTGTGCAATTCCCTGCCACAGAAAGCAGTTGAGGTCAAAGCATTCGGAGATAGCAAGAACTGCAGATGCTGGAGTCAGAGTTGATACAGACGTAGATGCGTCTAGGCCCAAAACGTCGACTCTCCTACTCCTCTGATGCCCTGACATAACACTCCCCTCCAGCCCCACCACACCCGGCACTTTTCCCTGCAACCACAGGAAGTGCTACACCTGCCCCCACACCTCCTCCCTCACCCCCATCCCAGGCCCCAAGAAGACTTTCCACATCAAGCAGATGTTCACCTGCACATCTGCTAATGTGGTATACTGTATCCGCTGTACCCATTGTGGCCTCCTTTACATCGGGGAAACCAAGCCGAGGCTTGGGGACCGCTTTGCAGAACACCTACGCTCGGTTCGCAATAAACAACTGCACCTCCCAGTCGCGAACCATTTCAACTCCCCCTCCCATTCCTCAGACGACATGTCCACCCTGGGCCTCCTGCAGTGCCACAACGATGCCACCCGAAGGTTGCAGGAACAGCAACTCATATTCCGCTTGGGAACCCTGCAGCCCAATGGTATCAATGTGGATTTCACAAGCTTCAAAATCTCCCCTCCCCCTACCGCATCCCAAAACCAGCCCAGTTCGTCCCTGCCTCCCTAACCTGTTCTTCCTCCCACCTATGCCCTCCTCCCACCTCAAGCCGCACCCCCATTTCCTACCTACTAACCTCATCCCGCCCCCTTGACCTGTCCGTCCTCCCTGGATTGACCTATCTCCTCCCTACCTCCCCACCTACACTCACCTTTACTGGCCCCATCCCCGCCTCTTTGACCTGTCTGTCTCCTCTCCACCTATCTTCTTCTCTATCCATCTTCTATCCGCCTCCCCCTCTCTCCCTATTTATTTCAGAACCTCCTTCCCCTCCCCCATTTCTGATGAAGGGTCTAGGCCTGAAACGTCAGCCTTCCTGCTCCTATGATGCCGCTTGGCCTGCTGTGTTCATCCAGCTCTGCACCTTGTTATCTCAGATTCTCCAGCATCTGCAGTTCCTACTGTCTCTGATGCCCTGCTGTGTTTCTCCAGCTCCATATTGTATCGAGATCAAAGCACTGAATGCTTTTAAGAGGTAATTAGATATAGTTCTTTGGGCTAAAGGATCAAAAGAGTATGGGGAGAAAGTGGGACAAGACATGGAGGTAGATGATCAGCCATGATCATATCGATTGGTGCAGCGTGCTAGAAGGGCCGAATAGCCTACTCCTGCTTCTATTTTCACTGCTTCTATGATATAGGAAATGGTGGCAAGTATGGGAAGCAACGAGTCACAAATTTAAACACAAGAAAGGTGGGAGTATGAGCAGAATGATCAGAAAAAGGAGTAGAACTAGCCATTGCACCAATAGAATAGAAAAAAAAGTGAGGTAGATAAAAATTTTAGGTGGCCGATGTGAAAGGAGAGTTCAATTAGCAGGTGAGAGATTTCCATAGGTACAGGAGCCCTTCAACCCTTGTGGGAAATTGGTTTCTAATCTTTCTTTAAAAACTCATTCTTAAAGGAGCAGGCATCACTGGTGACATTTATTCCTGATTAATTGTGTTTAATTCAGGAAATTGAGAATTAAATGCTTGGTGCAGAAGAAGTCAGTTGGCAGGCTGCCTTACCTCAACAATTTGACTGAGCAAATTGGGTCTTCAAATGATAACCTGAAAATTTAACGTTGCAGTTTTTCAATGCACAATCACCGAGAGGATCACAGAGAAAAATATTGTTTAGAAAGCACTTGGCATACTGTTTCAATTCTGCTTGGATAGTAATGTAATGGCAATTGGTTAATCACTTACTGTTTTGCCACTAGATTCTCCTACATTTAAAAGCAGTCAAAAAATGATCAATTTCAACACAACGTTAATCAGATAAGATGTTCAACCAAGGTACCATCTGCCTTTTCATGTGGGCATAAAAGACCCCACAGCACAAGCCAAGGACAAGCAGGAAAATTCTCCCTAGAGTCCTGGCTAACAATTACGTTTCAACTTAAATCACAAAAAAGGAGATTATGTGGTTATTACCATATTGCTGTGTGAGAGAGTTTTCCTACATTACAACAGCAGCCACACTTCAATTGGCTGTAAAGTACTTCAAAATGGTCAGAGTTGTGATACGCGCCATATAAACGCAAATCTTTTTACTGTCATAGTAAGCCTTTTGGATGAACATTCGTAGGTTAACACTACATAAAGAGGGATTGCGAATCCTCAAACAGACAGACTCTGCCAAAACTATAAATGTTGTTATTAATGGTGCTGGAGTTCCAGAAAGAAAAGAGAGAAAAGAGTGCCCACTTAGAGTGCCCAATTCAATTAATAAGATATCAGTCTGAGCATTTGGTCAATATGCTCAGCTACAGACTCGTTTTTTTTAATGTGCTCCACTCTATGGAGAGAGATCCATCTTTGAGAACATGATGGAGACATACTGACTGATGGGAAACAAAACCAGACTGCACTTAAGTCTACTTCCTTGCTGATAATGTAACAAACAGATTTAGTTAATGAGAGTTAAAATGGAGTCCAGATTACAATTAGTTGGTTTTAAGCAAATAATTTTTTTTGCATAACAGGTTTTATGTTCCCCTCAATTGTATTCCTTCCTCCTCACTTTATCTTATAATTATATGCTTTTAGAAAAGTAGCCTATTTGGATATGTTATGACATAGCTCTGAGCTAGTGTGACTCAGCTTTGGTGCAGCCCAAACCTGTTGTAATTGAGCAATCCAAATACTTATTCTAACACAGCAGGACTCCAGATAATTATCGAGACCTGAAACCATAAGACCATAGCCTCAGAGACAGTAGGAACTGCAGATGCTGGAGAATCTGAGATAACAAGGTGTAGAGCTGGATGAACACAACAGGCCAAGCAGCATCAGAGGAGCAGGAAAGCTGATGAAGAAGGGTCTAGGCCCGAAACATCAGCTTTCCTGCTCCTCTGATGCTGCTTGACCATAGCCTCTGTTGGTTTTTCCCTTCCCATTTCCACTCAGCTGATTTCATCAGAACGGGAGTACACCATTCAGCTCCACCAGATGGAGGTATCCGCGGCCTAATGGTATTATCACAGGATTATTAATCCAGAGACTCTGGTAATGTTCTGGGCCTATAGGCTTGAATCTTTCCATGGCAGGTGGTGGAATTTGAATCCAACAGAGTCATAGACTTGTACAGCATAGGGATACAGGCCCTTCAGTCCAACTTGTCCATGCCGACCAGATATCCTAAACTAAATCTAGCTCCATTTGTCAGCAGTTGGCCCATATCCCTCTTAAACCCTTTCTATTCATATACCCATCCAGATGCTGTTTAAATATTGTGATTATACCAGCCTCTACCACTAGGCAGCTCATTCCATGCATGCACCACCTTCTGTGTGAAAAAGTTGCCCCTTAGAACCCTTTTAAATCTTTTCACCCCTCACTTTAAACCTATGATCTATAGTTCTGGACACGCCCACCCTGGGGAAAAGGCCTCGACTATTTACCCTATCCATGCCCCTCATGATTTCATAAACCTCTATAAAGGTCACTCAGCCTCCGATGCTCCAGGGAAAATAGCCTCAGCCTATTCAGCCTCTCCCTATAGCTGAAACCTTTTAACCCTTGCAACATCCTTGCAAATCTTTTCTGCATCCTTTCAAGTTTAACAACATCTTTCCTGTACCAAGGGGACCAGAATTGAATGCAGCATTCCAAAAGTCTGGAATTAAGAGTCTAATGATAATGAGGAAACCATTGTGAATTATTGGGGTAAAAACATTCATTAATGTGCTTTAGTTAAGGAAATTTGCCATTCTTAACCAGTCTGACCTACATGTGACTCCAGACCCACATTGATGTGTCTGACTTGTAACTGACCTCTGGAAGGCCCTAGCATTCATGTGTGTCAAGAACAACTAAGGGCAGCAATAAGTTCTGGCCTGGCCAGAAATGCCCATGTCCCATGAGTGTATTTTTTTAAAAAAAGACCCATCTCCATGTTCAATTAATGCATTGCTCATCTGTATCTTTATCCATCTACCTTTGCCAAAATCCTGGAATTCTGTTTCTGCACACCAACGACTGAATTAGTTCAAGAAGCTGGCTCACCATCACCTTCAAATGAAAATAAAAAGGTTGGTCTAGCCAGCAATGCCCACCTCCACCTCCTTGAAAAAAATAACAACAAAACTTG